CCCTCCCTCTCCCCTCCCCTCCCCTCCTCTCCCCTGGCAGAGCTGACCATGGCTGAGATGCGGCAGAGCCTAGAGCAGGAGCGGGACCGGCTCATCGCCGAGGTGAAGAAGCAGCTGGAGCTGGAGAAGCAGCAGGCGGTGGACGAGACCAAGAAGAAGCAGTGGTGTGCCAACTGCAAGAAGGAGGCCATCTTCTACTGCTGCTGGAACACCAGCTATTGCGACTACCCCTGCCAGCAGGCCCACTGGCCTGAGCACATGAAGTCCTGCACCCAGTCAGGTAGGGCCCCGGGGCACCTCCTGGCCCAGGCTGCAGAGGGCGGGCTCTTGGCTCCCCCTGGACCAAAGGGCCCTCGTCATGCTCGCTCACCACCTGTGTGGCTCTTACACACAAGAGAGCAGCACACAGACATGGAGCCGAGACGCCAGACACAGGTGTTTAGAACCTCTGGTCTCCTTGGCCACAGTGTTGTTCGCCACAGTGCAGGGCTTGTGATGATCACTTTAGTTTCATGTGAGTTGTCGTGGCGGTTCTCCACCGGGGGTAGTGTTTGTCTCTGTCCCCTCTCCAAAGACACTGGCAATGACTGCAGACGTTTGTGGTTGTCATAACCGAGGGGGTTGCCGCTGGCATCGAGAGGGCAGGGGCCAAGGATGCTGCTAAACACCCTGCAAAATGCACAGGACAGCCCCCTACAGTGGAGCCCATCCTGGACTCATAGTGTTAAAAAAGGGATCCCAGTGCTCACGTGAAGGAAAAAGTGTTGGTTTGGAACTAATCGGTCTTTGAAATCTCTTTCTATAAATTAATTAATTTATTTTATTTTTGGCTGCGTTGGGTCTTCGTTGCTGCACGTGGGCTTTCTCTAGTTGCGGTGAGCAGGGGCTACTCTTCATTGCAGTGAGAGGGCTTCTCATTGTGGTGGCTTCTCTTGTTACAGAGCACGGGCTCTGGGCACACAGGCTTCAGTAGTTGTGGCTCGCAGACTTCAGTAGTTGTGGCTTGCGGGCTCTAGAGCGCAGGCTCAGTAGTTGTGGTGCACTGTGGGCACTTCAGGGAAGTCCCCTGAAATCTCTTTCTAATACAGAGCAAGCAGATCCCAGGCTAGGAGACTCCAGCAGGAAACACTGTCTAGTTAGAATTTATTAATAGTATTTATTAGTGATTATTTTACAGTTAGCATTTATTTATGGCTAATGTTAGATTTCTGTGCCTAGAAATAAAAATCTCCATTTCAAATAATTTATTTAAATACAGATAACAGGGCTTCCCTGGTGGCACAGTGGTTAAGAATCCGCCTGCCAGTGCAGGGGACACAGGTTTGAGCCCTGGTCCGGGAAGATCCCACATGCCGCGGAGCAACTAAGCCCGTGCGCCACAACTACTGAGCCTGCGCTCTAGAGCCTGCGAGCCACAGCTGCTGGGACCCGCGCGCCTGGAGCCTGTGCTCCACAGCGAGAGAGGCCACTGCAATGAGAAGCCCGCACACTGCAACTAGGAGTAGCCCCCACTCGCTGCAACTAGAGAAAAGCCTGCATGCAGCAGCGAAGACCCAACGCACCCAAAAATAAATAAATGTTAAATACAAGTAACATAAATAATATGGTAAAGGAGTATATCTACGGATTGACAAGTTTTTCAAAGGTGATACATGAATGACCCGAATTTGAGAAGCTCTGGAGCAGGGGTTGGTAAGCTTTTTTTTGTGAAGGTCCAGAGAGTAAATATTTCAGGATTTGTGGCCTGGGTGGTCTGTCAGAAGCGCTCAGCTCTACTGTTATAGGGTGAAACATGGGGTGAAAACTGGTCTAAAATTAGAAATGATGAAATGAGTAATTGGAACAGCAGATTACAGGGTGTTTGTTTCACGAACATTCTTTCTCTCCAGAATGATTTAATAAAACTTGAATTACAGACTCTTAGAAATGAACATATTTTCATGCACAGTCTGGAATGCCTGTGTCTTGAAAGCTTTGGTCCAGCCACTTTGGGCCTGTGCTTGTGCCCTGAGTGGGCCTGGGTGGCAGCTGCGTCTCTTACAGGTGTTGGTTTGCGCAGAACAGGCTTCCCCGTGGGCCCGGGAGCCACCACGCTCGGCTTATACTTGGCTTCTGTCCCCTTTTGCCCTCAGCTACCGCGCCTCAGCAGGA